AATGCCTGTCCAAACTGATGTCACTGTATCTCACAACAGACCAGATTTAATTTATGTTGATAAAAATCGTAATAAAACATTTTTAATAGATATAACTGTACCNATTTATGCTCGTTTAATCTATAAAATAAAAATTTTAATTAAAAGTATAATCAATAATAACAGGCTCACAAACGACCGAAGTAGATAAAACCACTAAACACCAGTAGTTAGTCGTGGGTTCGCGCCCCGCCAACATTTAAGTTTTTAACTCTTTCTACTCTGTGGTTACCTTGACCGCTCGGACATCCGGCCGTCGAATAGTGGTGGTCAATCATTTTGAATCAATCAAAATAACGCAATTATCAAGCTGATCAAATCACTCACGAGTCATTTGATGAATGTAAATCGATTACTTTTTGAGTCACTTCAACTTCCGTTTTAGATGATCGTTCCGATTGGAACTTATACAGTATACACAACCGGATGTACTGTACTGTACCGTTATTATTTTCTCTGATGTTTCGGAGATTCATTCGAGTTTTAACGCTTTAAAAGTACTTTTTAGGTTTTTAATGCCAAATTTCGATGTAGTTTACTTACATTTAGATAATTATTACATACAGCACATATTCATTCATTTTTTAGTTTTGTATTTACTGCTGTTGCAGACAATAAGGAAGGCATTATTAGACTCTCTGATGGGTTATATACAATTTAATAAATGATATATTTTTATTATTTGCAAAATTTGAACGGGACGTAATTTTATTTGTATTTCAAATGTTCGTTCTTGAAGAGACATAGTGTACTAATAAAAGATATTCAAATAACACCCTTGTGTAATTTGATTGCTGTATTATGTAACTTTTACTCGTTTGAACTACTGTATTTGTGATTTTTTCCCCTCGTTTAATTGTAAATATCTTATTTTCGAACTTGTTTTAGAAAATTACTCGACTCGCTCTCTAGGATCATTTCATTGATTGAACCGAATGATTGCAGTTATTGAAAAGAATCATTATGTCCATCATTAATGCTAAGTAAGCAAATCAAGGGCTGTTTTAGTTTGAATTACAGTATTTATATTAAACAAAAATTTTCTATAAAAAGGTCTGTTATTGGCTTGACTACTTGATTGCTGCTTACGTAAACGTTCCCATGTTTATTTATCTCAAAATAATATATATTGTTATTTTATTAATGTATAGGTGTAATAAAGTGGTTTATTCTGCTATATTTACTTGTCACCAAAGTGGTTGACAAGTAAATATAGTAGAATATGTTCAATATATTCTGTTGATAGTAAGAAGTATGATAATACAGTACTTCAATCCTTGCTTAAATACCTTCATTACATCTTGGAAGTAAATATAAGCATCCAAGTTAAGAAAAAATCACTCATGATGATATAAGATTTAATAAAGCAAGAGAGAGAGCAAATAATAAAGATTTTAAACAAAACATGGTGCTGATATTTTTAGGGATTGTGAGTCAAGTTAAATATAAAAAATTAATTTTAACTATTAAAATAATAAAATTTAGCCCAATTTTTTATTATAAGACATCACATGTACAGACTGCATGAGATTGTTGCCTTTTATCCAAGAATTATGTCAAAAATAATTATGAACTTCAAATTGGCATAAAGCCAGTAGTAATTTGTGGTATCCATAGAGGCACGTATGGGCTATTAGATATCAAGATCTGGGAGAGTGTAATATGTTCCCTCAAGTGGTACAGAACTCTCAGTCTATAACTGTAGGTCTGGAGTCATAGTTTCTTTTATTCATAATAAATTAAAATGTTTTAGTATTTTTAGTTCTGAACTATTCTATCATTCATATTAGTTTAACTTGTTAACTTATTAGTTTTTCATCTCTACATGCTATATTATATATTGCATTTAATTACTTTTAACAGATTGAATCATCTTTCAACTTTATTATAAAAAATTTATTAGAATATTTTTATTAATTTAAATATTTTCACAACAAAATTTCAAAATGTTAATGCTAAATTTGGTTGAGAAAAAATAATTTATGGTCTTCATTACTTAAATATTTGATTTTTGAAATATTCATATTGAATTTATAGAAGAAATAATAGAAGGCTGATTGACTAAATCCATAAAGTTATTGGCTTCTCTTGGAGATTCAGATATGTTGAGTACCAACTTCAGGATGGGGTCTGATATATTTAGGTCTTTTTTTTCTTTAGTTCTTTGTCCTGTAAGCACTAAGAGGACCTTTCTTTTAGCAAGCCCATTACGGGTTTGGCCAGGCCCACAATGGTACAGCTAGATGGTGAGGAACAGGGCCTGACATATCTGGTGGATCACCTATCAAAAAATTCTTGGATTTTTCTCATCTAGATTCACTCCCTGGTCTCCCAAAGCAGTAGTCACCTCATTTTGTGCATGGCCAGAAGTATAACAGACATAAAAAAGGGAGCTTTTACTATCCACAGGACAGGAAAATAAAGAAAATAAAAAGAATAGATAAAAATGCAGATGGTTTTATACTACAGGGTATTTAGAAGGATTGAAATTATCAGAAATTTTAACATTTACATTGTAGATTTATAAAACTTAATATTAAAATTAAACAAACGTTTTCAGAAACTACATTCAGAATATTTTAAAGACTATAGTCACAAATTAAAAGATATTTTAAAAACATTATACTCAAACTTAATGAGACGTTAAAGAATTACATATTAATTATTAAAAACTATCTTGCAGTGTTATCAAGTTCAAAAAATTACAAGAAATGACTTAAAATATACTCAAATTGATAATATAGAATTATCAAAAATGCTCGGAAAAATTATATTTTACACTACAATTGTAAGACATTTAAAAATTTTTTGAACTTAACACCAAAAGAATTTTTAGCTATTAATTAATATATCTTTTTTAGGCATTAATTAATTTCCAATACATTTATGCCTCGTGAAATCATTACTTTGTCTAATGTCTGTATAAATTACATTGTTACTACAACAAAATATAAAGATATGAAATATTTATACTAAATCATTTCTATATATAATAATATTGGGTCATTGGTCATTACTAATTAAATTGCTTAAAAGTGCTATAATTAAAACATACTTATCATTTTATTAAGTGACATTTTCATCTTATATTATTTCTGCATTTATTTATTATATTATCCCCATCCACATGTTCATTTATGTATTTATTTCAAATCTCATTTCATATTTACGTTCCATCTTAGTGTTCTATTTTGAGTTAACTGAAGATCGGTTAAAACGATCAAAGATGATGGTATTAATGAAACATTGCCATAGGTGAGTTAGGAAATGTCTGTTTTCTTATGAAGGTCATCATTAAGAGCACATACTATATTATTGTTCATTTGTAGCCTGTGTACAAGTTCATATACAGTATAAATATAAAGCTTTTAGAAATCTGGGAAAACCTATGCAAATTTCTGAATTCCAAGACTCAAACTTTCAACATAGTAGTATGCAAGAGATTCAGAAAATGCAGTTACACTGTTATCAAGAAATATACAATGACAAAAAATTGGCATATAAACAAAGCACTTGAGAATTTTCACAGAAGAATTCTGTGAATTTCTGTAGGCTGCATTTAGTCAGCCTATAGAAGAGTGAGCATTCAGACAAAAACATTAACATTACATAATTCATGGAAGCTTCATGGCCAGACATAACCATCAACCAATTGCTACTGATTACATGAATCCATTGATGGTTTTGAAGCCATAGCACTGGTAAGTTATTTTAAAACAATAACATGTTACTGTTACAAAACTATGTTGTCCATCACTAATGAAGAATCTGCAGCTTTCAACATTTTTCTACTAGTGAGAATATTTTGAAATAATAATCAATCTCCTCACTATGTGCATTTATTCTACTACATATTGTAAATAAACAATGAAAAAGACTGAAGAGAGTTAGAATAAAAGAATTTGAAATGGTCTAACAAGCATATAAAAATGTGACCTGCATATATTTCTCAACTTGTAACATGGCCCACTCCGACAAAGATTCTCGTCACTGTTCTAAAATATAATAGTGATTTGATAATACAGTAAACTCCCAATTATCCTGGCTAATGGTGGGGAGAGGTGGCACAGATAATCCGAACTATAATTATTTATTTCTAAAATACAACATGTAGATTCACCTTTTTCAAATTTTTCAATTAATGTTAGTTTTTGTTTTATAGTATGACTTTCTTTCAATTATTAGGCATTTTAAGGGTACTTATCTGAAAATTAAAAAAATAATCTTATTTTATGTAATTTTACACTAAAAGTATTTATTGGAGAGTTATTTGAAAAAAATATTATGTATAATATTATACATATGTACATATAATCAAATCTTAAATTGTAATACCTATTATAACATGCAACTAAAAGAAACTTTGTATAAATGTACTCACTATTGTTTTCTCCTTCGAAAAGAAATGTCCGGCGCAAAAGAAGTGGCCTAACTAAAACCAGTTCAGCTGACTTCAGATACCCCCACCACCTGCTTCAAACATCTAAATATGAACACGTGCACTTATAGGATGCATAAACATGAAAGCGAGCAACTATTTAAAAAATACATACACATAATTTTTTTTTTTAAATTGAATTCATGCAGGGATAATCAGGAGTTTACTGTACTTATTTTAACCATCTAGTCAAAAATCAAAATATAAAATTAGCATGATAAACTTTTAAAAAGTTTTGCTATTTATTACAAAATAAGAGAGATACAGTAATACCTCGACTTACGCGATTTTCAAATCTCGTAGATTCGTCTTTTGTTTGAGCGCCAAGCAACTCTTGATCACTCAATCCCCCCACACTATTGTTCAGCTTACATGTTCGGATGTGTCTCGTGGAATTGACACATAGCTACAATTTATTTTGTGTTATTTATTTCTGTATTTATTATATCTACGGAGACTTGAGAGACTCTGTGTGGTGATTTCTTGTAACCATGAACGAATCAAAAGACAAAATAAGATTAACGAGAACATTTATTAGCTTACATACATCCGACTTGGATTTTACAAAAATTGTGAAATTATACCCCGATTTACGCGGTTACCTCTTGGTTCCACCTATCGCTGTATTAACTTTGTGAAATATTATATCATGATATATGTATTGATGTTATTTTGTATTAATGCATACATAATGTCCAGTTACTAAGAAATATCTTTATTATATATATCTTATTTACAGATTTCATAAAATAAAGAAAATTATAAACTAACTTTTTATGTATATAACCGAATTGTTTTATCTGCACCTGATGAAAAGATCCACGGTTGTATAGGATGAAAACAGCAATCTAGAACTCCTAGATCATTATATGAAGTATGACCCTTTAATTGTTTCACTGGTACAATTAGAGGATCTTGAAGCAAATCATTATAAACCATTCCATGAGAAATAATAATAGATAAATCATCTGAAGCTGAAGCAAAAAGTGGATAATTTCTATGAATGGCTACCTTTCGAATTGCTTTTTTATGATATCTAAGACTTTTGTACGGTTTAGATGAAAGATCCAAATCAAACCAGTTTAACTTTGAATCGTAACTTCCTATAATTAAATTGTCACCCTGTGGATGAATAGCTAAACTAGATACCCATTTGCAATTAGCCAATAATTTCTTTGAAAATTCTTTTTTAACAAGATTGTATATTCTAACATATCGCTGAGTAGCTATGAAAAAGAATGGTTTTAATGGATGAAACTGAACACATTGTACTAGACCTTTGTTCCACTGAAATGGTATCTGAGAAGTCCATGCTGGAAGTTTATGAATAACAACAGATTTGCTACCGGCTTCAGACATGACAGTGGCAAAGTAAACTCCTCTGCCTTCCCACGTTATTTGTTTTATTTCTTTTGGATGTGAAATAATAATACGTATCCCATTTTTGAATTGGTTAGAATTAGCCTCTTTCCAAGATATACTTTTATTTGTATTCTCTGCATCTATTGGTTTATCTTTAAATCTATGATCTGTATTACTTAATACTAACCTATCTCCAACTCCAGGATTTATCAGATATAAATTATTATTAACTGATGCTGCAATTAAATTAATGCTTTTATCCGGACACCAAGCAATAGTTTTCACAACACCATCTAACATTATAACTTTCATACAGCGAGCAGTTAAAATTTCCCATATTCGAATTGTGCAATCATCACTACCAGAAGCTAAGAACTGTCCAGAAGATTCAACAGTAATGCATCTAACCATATCTTTATGACCATGATAAATTAATGCTTGAACAGATGGAAAAGGTTGCAAATCTTTTGGTTTAGGAAGTTTTGGTATTAAATCTTCTGGATTTACATTCATCCTCATTTTTCTCTGTCTTGGGCAAAGATACAGATCAAGGCATCTATCAAAGCGTTCACTAATGAAATTATCATAGGCAGGCACCAGTCGCAGAGAAGAGTACTTTTTGGGTACAAAATTTATTTTTCTTTCTTCGGGTTCTTGATCTTTCCATTTCTCTTCTTCTTCTTTAGTAAATAAATATTCTGGTGGGGGGTTATAAGATTCTTCGTGGCCAGGAAGTTTCATTTTTGGTGCAGGAATATAATGTTGCATCCTTTTTGTAATATCAACATTTTCATCATTTTTCCAAAGCATGTAAAACTTTGGCGTGTCATCACGTTTTTTCCTAGGTTTGATCCAACCCATTTTAATAGCATGAACCATTCTACTAACTTTTTTTCTTTCAATTTCCGAAGGAATGAAACTTCTTTTATCTTCTGGGCGATTAGTGACAGGATGAATCATTGTTTTATAAGTAAAAAAATCTTCAAATGGTTCGTAAGGTTGAAATGTAACATCCGGAAATTTTCCCTTCTGAATGCGTTGAATAATTTCTATATCTCCATCACTCAAAATGACATTTTGACCCGTCATTTCGTCCTTTACAGTACGCCAGTAATTTGGATCTTCTACTTTTTTAATGAAGTCTTCCAACTCATCGCTTTTAAGCGGTTTTAGAATCTTTTTTCCATCAAGACTATAACCAATATGAGGATAATCATCATACCACTCAATAGGAATATTTCCTATTGTGTTTCTAATATCTTCTTCATCTGACGAATCAATGGCATATTCATCCACCAAAGGCTTTTCTTTTGTATTCGTGACTGATTTATTATCCCCATTTCCCAAATCATCACTATCAGATGATGCATCACTACTACTGTCTTCTTCTTCTTCGTATTCACTAGATTCGTAAGAATCGCCATCAGAATCATTTAACTTAAACAAGTCACGTTTCTTCTCCTTAACGTCCGCCATATTGTACAACGTGCTTAAGATTTTTAGTGCCCTCTATAGTTGCCAATTTCACTAGTAATTGCATAATTTTTCTAAAAGAAAAAATATTAATATTAATTATAACTATAATAATAATAATAATAATATACGATAAAAAAAAATTAAATTTTCTTCGTTTAAGCAATTATTTTTGACTACACTGCTTTTCGCCTGGAATCGCATTAATTTGTCCTGTTTTTTTACAGTATGTGTAAAAATAATCAGCCTCAAAAAATAAAATTTTTATAAAGTTAATAAAAATTTTAATTTAAGTTTTTAACTCTTTCTACTCTGTGGTTACCTTGACCGCTCGGACATCCGGCCGTCGAATAGTGGTGGTCAATCATTTTGAATCAATCAAAATAACGCAATTATCAAGCTGATCAAATCACTCACGAGTCATTTGATGAATGTAAATCGATTACTTTTTGAGTCACTTCAACTTCCGTTTTAGATGATCGTTCCGATTGGAACTTATACAGTATACACAACCGGATGTACTGTACTGTACCGTTATTATTTTCTCTGATGTTTCGGAGATTCATTCGAGTTTTAACGCTTTAAAAGTACTTTTTAGGTTTTTAATGCCAAATTTCGATGTAGTTTACTTACATTTAGATAATTATTACATACAGCACATATTCATTCATTTTTTAGTTTTGTATTTACTGCTGTTGCAGACAATAAGGAAGGCATTATTAGACTCTCTGATGGGTTATATACAATTTAATAAATGATATATTTTTATTATTTGCAAAATTTGAACGGGACGTAATTTTATTTGTATTTCAAATGTTCGTTCTTGAAGAGACATAGTGTACTAATAAAAGATATTCAAATAACACCCTTGTGTAATTTGATTGCTGTATTATGTAACTTTTACTCGTTTGAACTACTGTATTTGAGATTTTTTCCCCTCGTTTAATTGTAAATATCTTATTTTCGAACTTGTTTTAGAAAATTACTCGACTCGCTCTCTAGGATCATTTCATTGATTGAACCGAATGATTGCAGTTATTGAAAAGAATCATTATGTCCATCATTAATGCTAAGTAAGCAAATCAAGGGCTGTTTTAGTTTGAATTACAGTATTTATATTAAACAAAAATTTTCTATAAAAAGGTCTGTTATTGGCTTGACTACTTGATTGCTGCTTACGTAAACGTTCCCATGTTTATTTATCTTTTATTAGCTTAAATTTTTATTCAATTTTATAATTTTAATTTATATTCTCAAAATAAAAATAATTTATTAATGGGAGATTTATTTATATTAAAAAAAATAATAAAATCAATTTTCTATCGAAAAATTTAATAGAAATTTCAGTCGTTAGTCGCTAGTGTCGACATCTGTCCTTAACAAAGAACAACTTTTTTTATAAATAAATGTTTCTTTTAATTTTTAAATAAATATATTACTTATATTCAGAAATCATTACTAAAGTTTACGTTAAATATGCATATATCCGAATTTATGCTGTTTTCTATGTATATAAAAATAATTATTTTTACTAAACGAAACGAAAACTGCAATTCGGGAAAAATGTATAGAATTAAAAATATGAATATTTACATCAGAAAGGGAGAGAATTAATCGTATTAAGTTAATAATAAATTAATTAAAAAAAAAAAAAGTACTGTCAGGAGTGGGGTTCGAACCCACGCCCTCCTATGAGGACCAGATCTTAAGTCTGGCGCCTTAGACCACTCGGCCATCCTGACACTTAACTGCACCCTTTCATATGCATTATATGTACATATCATAAAGTTATTATTATTTACACGTATATATACATTTATAGAACATGGAATAAAATTAAATAGATAATTTTAATACCAAACAAAATCATTACAATTTTAAAAATAAAACATCGATTGATATTAAAATATCTAAAAAGTTAATTATTATAATTTTATCGATTAAATGATGAAATGATAAAAATTGTTATATTAAAATAAGTAATATTAAATTATAAATATAAACAATTTTAATATGTTTATTATTAATTTAAATGAGAAAAAAAGCGATAATAACGCTTTATATATGAAATGAAATGAGAGAAAGGCATGTGATTGAGGTTGTCTTTGAATTATGTTATAACGAGGGGAAGCTTTTGCATTTTTAATCAAGGCATTTAATTTATTTTTCGATGGAGAATTTTTTATTCGTTTTTGAATATATTTTACATCATGGGAATGATTTATTCGAGTTGCAAATGTCGACGTAAACCCAAAAGGTTTGTTTCCTATTGTTTACTCTTTTATTAT